CCCCCCCCCCCCCCCCCCCCCCCCCCCCCCCCCCCCCCCCCCCCCCCCCCCCCCCCCCCCCCCCCCCCCCCCCCCCCCCCCCCCCCCCCCCCCCCCCCCCCCCCCCCCCCCCCCCCCCCCCCCCCCCCCCCCCCCCCCCCCCCCCCCCCCCCCCCCCCCCCCCCCCCCCCCCCCCCCCCCCCCCCCCCCCCCCCCCCCCCCCCCCCCCCCCCCCCCCCCCCCCCCCCCCCCCCCCCCACCCCCCCCCCCCCCCCCCCCCCCCCCCCCCCCCCCCCCCCCCCCCCCCCCCACCCCCCCCCCCCCCCCCCCCCCCCCCCCCCCCCCCCCCCCCCCCCCCCCCCCCCCCCCCCCCCCCCCCCCCCCCCCCCCCCCCCCCCCCCCCCCCCCCCCCCCCCCCCCCCCCCCCCCCCCCCCCCCCCCCCCCCCCCCCCCCCCCCCCCCCCCCCCCCCCCCCCCCCCCCCCCCCCCCCCCCCCCCCCCCCCCCCCCCCCCCCCCCCCCCCCCCCCCCCCCCCCCCCCCCCCCCCCCCCCCCCCCCCCCCCCCCCCCCCCCCCCCCCCCCCCCCCCCCCCCCCCCCCCCCCCCCCCCCCCCCCCCCCCCCCCCCCCCCCCCCCCCCCCCCCCCCCCCCCCCCCCCACCCCCCCCCCCCCCCCCCCCCCCCCCCCCCCCCCCCCCCCCCCCCCCCCCCCCCCCCCCCCCCCCCCCCCCCCCCCCCCCCCCCCCCCCCCCCCCCCCCCCCCCCCCCCCCCCCCCCCCCCCCCCCCCCCCCCCCCCCCCCCCCCCCCCCCCCCCCCCCCCCCCCCCCCCCCCCACCCCCCCCCCCCCCCCCCCCCCCCCCCCCCCCCCCCCCCCCCCCCCCCCCCCCCCCCCCCCCCCCCCCCCCCCCCCCCCCCCCCCCCCCCCCCCCCCCCCCCCCCCCCCCCCCCCCCCCCCCCCCCCCCCCCCCCCCCCCCCCCCCCCCCCCCCCCCCCCCCCCCCCCCCCCCCCCCCCCCCCCCCCCCCCCCCCCCCCCCCCCCCCCCCCCCCCCCCCCCCCCCCCCCCCCCCCCCCCCCCCCCCCCCCCCCCCCCCCCCCCCCCCCCCCCCCCCCCCCCCCCCCCCCCCCCCCCCCCCCCCCCCCCCCCCCCCCCCCCCCCCCCCCCCCCCCCCCCCCCCCCCCCCCCCCCCCCCCCCCCCCCCCCCCCCCCCCCCCCCCCCCCCCCCCCCCCCCCCCCCCCCCCCCCCCCCCCCCCCCCCCCCCCCCCCCCCCCCCCCCCCCCCCCCCCCCCACCCCCCCCCCCCCCCCCCCCACCCCCCCCCCCCCCCCCCCCCCCCCCCCCCCCCCCCCCCCCCCCCCCCCCCCCCCCCCCCCCCCCCCCCCCCCCCCCCCCCCCCCCCCCCCCCCCCCCCCCCCCCCCCCCCCCCCCCCCCCCCCCCCCCCCCCCCCCCCCCCCCCCCCCCCCCCCCCCCCCCCCCCCCCCCCCCCCCCCCCCCCCCCCCCCCCCCCCCCCCCCCCCCCCCCCCCCCCCCCCCCCCCCCCCCCCCCCCCCCCCCCCCCCCCCCCCCCCCCCCCCCCCCCCCCCCCCCCCCCCCCACCCCCCCCCCCCCCCCCCCCCCCCCCCCCCCCCCCCCCCCCCCCCCCCCCCCCCCCCCCCCCCCCCCCCCCCCCCCCCCCCCCCCCCCCCCCCCCCCCCCCCCCCCCCCCCCCCCCCCCCCCCCCCCCCCCCCCCCCCCCCCCCCCCCCCCCCCCCCCCCCCCCCCCCCCCCCCCCCCCCCCCCCCCCCCCCCCCCCCCCCCCCCCCCCCCCCCCCCCCCCCCCCCCCCCCCCCCCCCCCCCCCCCCCCCCCCCCCCCCCCCCCCCCCCCCCCCCCCCCCCCCCCCCCCCCCCCCCCCCCCCCCCCCCCCCCCCCCCCCCCCCCCCCCCCCCCCCCCCCCCCCCCCCCCCCCCCCCCCCCCCCCCCCCCCCCCCCCCCCCCCCCCCCCCCCCCCCCCCCCCCCCCCACCCCCCCCCCCCCCCCCCCCCCCCCCCCCCCCCCCCCCCCCCCCCCCCCCCCCCCCCCCCCCCCCCCCCCCCCCCCCCCCCCCCCCCCCCCCCCCCCCCCCCCCCCCCCCCCCCCCCCCCCCCCCCCCCCCCCCCCCCCCCCCCCCCCCCCCCCCCCCCCCCCCCCCCCCCCCCCCCCCCCCCCCCCCCCCCCCCCCCCCCCCCCCCCCCCCCCCCCCCCCCCCCCCCCCCCCCCCCCCCCCCCCCCCCCCCCCCCCACCCCCCCCCCCCCCCCCCCCCCCCCCCCCCCCCCCCCCCCCCCCCCCCCCCCCCCCCCCCCCCCCCCCCCCCCCCCCCCCCCCCCCCCCCCCCCCCCCCCCCCCCCCCCCCCCCCCCCCCCCCCCCCCCCCCCCCCCCCCCCCCCCCCCCCCCCCCCCCCCCCCCCCCCCCCCCCCCCCCCCCCCCCCCCCCCCCACCCCCCCCCCCCCCCCCCCCCCCCCCCCCCCCCCCCCCCCCCCCCCCCCCCCCCCCCCCCCCCCCC